ATTTGAAATTCAGTATTGCGATAGTCAGAATCTCATTGCGAATACGTATTCGCGTTGCGGTTTACGTAATCGCGTTGCGGTTTACGTAATCGCGTTGCGGTTTACGTAATCGCGTTGCGGTTTACGTATTCGCGTTGCGGTTTTGGGAAATCGCAACGCGAATTTGGGAAATCACAATGCGATAGTCAGAATCGCGTTGCGAATCTGGAAACTGATTTGCGATACCAGAAATCGCGTTGCGAATTATCGATCGCATTGCGATTTAGTTGGTCATTTTGGCAAATCCAAAAAAAGTTGGTTAAAATCGTATATTATAAGACATTTTTTGTCACTGAGGTTATTTTCTCTTAAATATATTGAATTAATTTAAAATTATGACCACTTTGATAGATTGTGTAAGTAATAAGGACTAAACGTAAATTATATCAATATTATTAAATGCCGCACTTCCGTTAACTGTCAACGGTTAGTGGCCTGATTGAATGCATTTAAATAGTTGGGTGGTCTGATTGATAAAAATTCAAAAATGATAGTCCAAATGAAAAAACTATAATTGGGTGGTCTCTAGTATAATTTACCCAAATGTTTATTACATTTTCAATGACTTGGTTAACATTTGTCGTAGTTACGAAAACACATTTATATTAAATAGAATAATATTTTGAAGTTTACTTTTTTACTTTATAGTAAGATAGTTGCATAAAATTAAAACTATGACTAATTTAAAAAAACTCACCTACTTTGATGGGATTAAATAATTGATTATCAAAATATATTTTAAATTTTATTTTTTTATACTTGAATAAAAAACTTCAAATTTCAAAATTTTGACAAAAATTCAAAATAAATTTGGGGGCCTAATTGTCTAAATTCTTAGTAGCTATGACTACGATATAAGGACCCACTTCTTCATTTGGACCTTGGGGGACTTTTATTACGCTTTCGTTCTGCTGCTGCTGCTGCTGCTTAGGTATCGTTCTTTAAAGCTACACTTACACAGATTGCTTGCTCTCTCTCTCAGTCTCTCTCCTTGGTTTCAGCAAAATCCAAGTTTGTAGAGCTTCTGAATCAGTTACGCTCGGGCCTACAATTTTGTACGACTCTCTTTCTTCTTCCTCTTCTTTTATGCTTTAAAAAGTTGTTGTTGGGGGGGGGGGACTCACGTTTTTACTGATATTTTCTCTTGTTTATTGTGGTGTAATGTTAAGTGCAGCTCACAGGATTTTCCGTCGACTTTGGCCGGAGAATGGCATATATGTGTACGGATAGTGGGAATCTAATGGCAATCGCTCAACAAGTAATAAAGCAACAGCAAGAGCAACAAAGAGAGCAACAACATCATCAGCAGCAGCAACAGTTTCTTGGTCTCAGTCCTGTTAGTCTGAACCCTTGGAGTCAACACGGCGACTCCATCTCTCCCAGTCTGGGATACGGGCTTTTGGGCCCGGGTTTTGCTGATCTCTTTCAGGGAGATACTGGAGAAGTGTTTCAGTTCCCTAACACCGGTCATCATAATACGAGTGGATTTCGGCTCCCGGATTTTGGCGGTGGTTCGGGTGGTGAGTTCGACACCGACGAGTGGATGGATTGCTTAATGAACAATGGAAAGTCAACGGATAGTTCGAATCTGCCGTCTGGCTGTGAAGCCTGGCCAAACAATGCTGATTTGGGTCTTTACGGTGCCGATCCATTTAGTGCTTGCCCGAATCGTCTCAGCGTGGCATATCCTAAGCCGTCTGATCTGAACCGGGTGATTTTCTCAGCGGAGGCAGAGAAAAATCTTAGCAGTTCTCTTCAACCTCAGCCTCAGCCACCTACGTGGTCCCCATCTCCTCTATCTCAACCTTCTCAAGCAACTGTTAAAGAAACCAAAGCAAGCAGTCCCCCGAGCCAGACGCCACTCAGAAAGGACGCCGCAGGGGTCTCAGTTGTTCCCCCCGAGATGGAGTCAGCTCACCCGCTGTTAAAAGCTTTACTCGTCTGTGCTGGACTCACTGAGTTGGAACCTGAACTCGCGATTAAATCACTGGAGGAACTCCTGGTGTCGGTGTCAGAATGTGGGGATCCTACTGAAAGAGTGGCCTTCTATTTCACCGAAGCTCTCTGTAGCAGAGTCCCTGTTCGGGCAGAGAAAATACTGGATCTGCCTGAAACGACGTCGGAGGACTTCACTCTCTCTTACGAAGTATTGAACGAATCGTGTCCTTACTCGAAATTCGCTCATTTAACGGCAAATAAAGCGATTCTCGAAGCAACGGAGCGGGCAAGCAAGATTCACATAGTGGACTTTGGAATTGTTCAAGGAGTTCAATGGGCTGCTCTTTTGCAAGCGTTAGCTACCAGGTCAGCTGGAAAACCAACCCGGATTCGTATTTCTGGTATACCTGCCCCGGTTTTGGGCTCCTCTCGGTCTCCTTCCCTTTATGCTACGGGTAACCGTCTACGTGACTTTGCAAAGCTACTGAATTTGAATTTTGAGTTTGAACCATTCTAACTCCGATTAAGGAACTTGACGAGTCTTGTTTCCGGGTTGACGACGATGAGGCATTGGCTGTAAATTTCATGCTTCAATTGTTGCTCCGGTCAATGTTGAAGCAGCTCTCCGTTTGGCTAAATCTTTGAACCCCAAAATCGTGACATTGGGTGAGTACGAAGCGAGTTTAAATCGAGTTGGGTTTTTGAACCGATTTAAGAATGCCTTGCGGTATTACTCGGCCATGTTCGAATCGTTGGAACCCAACTTACCTCGTGATTCACCCCAGCGAATACAAGTTGAGAGACTGTTATTGGGTCGGAAAATCGCAGGGATTATTGGACCGGACGAAGCTGAAAACCGAAGGGAACGGATGGAAGATATAGAGCAATTGAAGGTTTTAATGGAAAGTGCTGGTTTTGAAACGGTAACCCTTAGCCACTACGCGATAAGTCAAGCGAAAATTCTGCTGTGGAATTACAATTAAAGTTCTTCGTATTCAATAATTCAATCCCAGCCTGGATTTCTTTCTTTAGCTTGGAAAGAAGTGCCTCTACTCACTGTATCGTCGTGGCGTTGATGGTGAAATTTTCCGCTTGGTCATTTTTGTCTAGTGTGGGATGGAACAGCTCAGCTCAGTCTATGGTGAGAATTCAAGTGCAAAATGCTTATTTCCATGGTTTTATATATCATTTTAATTTTGATTTTAATTTTTTCCCTTTGGTATTTGAGTTCTGGTTTTAGAACTTTCAGCATGACAAAAATTGTAATGCAAGGGGATATGAAATTCTGACCCTGGGGTGTTTTGGACGTTCGCATCTTCAGGAGAAATGTAAGTTTTACGCAGTTTGGTTCACTAACATCTAGATCCTAGGTTATTTTGTATCAATGTGATCAGCAGTTTGGTTCATTAACCTTGCGGGGATTACCTTTTCCTATCTTCTCTTCTTCAACCTTTTAGACTGCTCCTATCTTACAATATGCATCGTAAAGTCTTATTTGGATGGAAAAGGACTTTGAATTTGCATGGGGGTGGTTGTTACCATCCCTGCGTAATCTTACTTTTTTCCATTTTCAGCCTACTGGCCTGTTGGTTACAGATTTCATGGCTGTCTTTTTCATCCTGATGAAACCAAACTCTTAAATCCGTTCTGATCATGCTGGATTGAATAATATACATATTATTTTTCTTAATTTCTTTCTTTTAAACCCCCGTTGATCTCTCTCTCTATATAAGATGTATACATAATACACATATAATATGAATAAGAGCTTGCGACTGTCGGCAGCTATTTTATCCTGTTCCATGCAAATTTCTTTAGAAGTTGGGCCACAAATGCTCAAGGATCAGCTTTAGGACTCCACGAGTCTAGAAAATTCAAACAGCATGGGACCAGAAAGTGGAAAAATAATCGTTGGGAAAAACTTGGTTTGTAAGATGGAAAATTATTATATGATTTTAATTAATAATTAAATTATAATATAAACTTATGCTAAATAAATTATACTATGAGATATTTAATAATATTAATATCACAATAATAATTTAATTATTAAAATATCAAAATTAATATAAGAATCAATTTTAAAATATTTCCCATCCAAGTATTCAATTTGAACTCTCAAGTTGCTTGTATGATTCAATTTAAAAATATTTCCTATTCGAACAAATTTTGTTTCCAACTGTATTATTATGAAAAAATCAGCCTAATTCGAAGGGCTATATAGCCTCCCCTCCAGGATTTTTATGGCTAAATTATTTAAATGATCCTTTGACTATAAAATAGTATTTTATTAAGTTTTTTTATTATTAAAAGTTATAAAATAATTTTTTAATTATATAGAGTTATTTTATCGAGTCTCTCGATTATTAAAAGTTTTAAAATTATTACCCGACTATTCATTATATTTCAAACTCGTCATTTCTCTTTAAAATTTTAATGATATTCTGAATTGTTCGTTAATCTGTTAATTGAGATATAATAAAATATAATATAAGTGACTATCATATCTTATAATCAATATATTAACAACCTGTTTTGATGATTTTTTTTTTAAAAGATAAATTTAAAAGGTAATGAATGGTTAAATAGTTATTTTATAATTTTTAATAGTCGATGATTCAACAAAATAATTTCTTATATTTAAAATTTATTTTATAACTTGATAATAAATAATATCTTATGTAAAATTAACGAATAGATTAAAAGAACAGTCCAGATCCAATCCAACTTGCGTACTTACAACGCAATTTCGCAACATTGACATTTGACCTGTATCCAGCTCATAAGTTTCACGAGGCTGTGATGCCCTAGTTTTCGTCGCTTTTTTCTAGTTCCTTTGCCCCTTTCCTTCAGCAACATAATTTTCTAAATATAAAAATTAAAGATGCCTACTTAATTACACGTGGACGTATCTAACCCATTCAATGTCCCAAACTATCTTGTATCTCGACCGTCCATTCTTCTGAAAAGACCTATATAATTAAGGCTTTGTGCAACGGGTTTCTCTCATTCCAGCTAATTATTCTCATCTTTTTCTCCATGCCGTATGCGTTTTGCAGATTGGATTTTTCTTCGATGTCTTTCCTACCGAGGGACCTGTCTTCAGATCGGCTCGGATCGGGCCAGCAGCTCCTATTTGCTGGTTTTATACGATGAAAGGAGTAAGCGTTGATGGATCTATGATTTTAAAGGCCTTTTCTGGCAAGGAAGCAATCATTAACTTGAAGATCCCCAGCACTTCTAGCTTTCGAAGTATGTTTTTGAAGGCCTTCGCTTGCTTCGATTCGCAGGCTTTCTTCATTGGCATTTATGCTTTTCCCTTCTAATTTTACAGAATGGTCTCATCAGCGGCCGAGATTTGGACGAGCGTATTGATTTCAGATGTACGATATTAATAGACGAGGCATCTGGGCGATGTGGGATTGAATGGTTTGTTCTTGAAAGGATGTGTAAGATGTCAGGGCAGAAGGTCCTACTGATAATATTTATTTGTTAGGGGACTGAGTCCTGATCTATCCTTGTCGTCCAAGACCTTTGCCATGACAGGTGCGCTTGCATGGCAGGTCGCCCAACTTAATAAAAAAATTATATTTTTCGGTGTTTTTAGAGGGGAGTTCGCACGGGGTTGCCCGGGTTCTCCCCTCTGCTGCGGTGTCGTATCGTGTCTCCTGCTCCTTTATTTTCTTTTTCCCTTCCCCTTTCCCGTTTTCTATTTTTTGCAACATACGGGATGGATGCTTGCTTCAACATCATCACCACCGTCGGAATATGCTCATGAACTCCCAAGCCATACTACTAGCGTATCTCAAGGCCAAGGTATTAACTTACATATTTTAACCCAACTTTGACTTATCTACTTTTACTTTAAAATTTAATTTATTTATGCATATTTAAATATGAAAGGATAATAAATTAATAGACCATAAAGTTAAAGGGGTCAAGTAGATTGAATGGGAAAAAGATACATGATAAGTAATATTGAAGAACATATATTTTTTTTCTTAAGTTATTGAGTCATAGTTTAAAACTAGCTATCTAATCTAAGGTTATTTAATTTCGATGATGAATGAGTGAAATTAAAAATTGATTTCGGTAATGAATAACTTATCATGAAATAAATTTAACATTATTTTTAATGAACATCTTTAAGTTAGAAGTCCAATTTAAAGCAGTGCAATTTTTAATATTATACGCTGCATTGATTTTTATGTGTACCTTCTTTTAATTAAGAGTTTCTCGTAATAACGAATTAAAAAAATTGGCAACTCTCTAAAAAAGTTGAACTATCTATCTTCATTTCATGTCTCACAAGATCAATTGAGGAATCACCATTTCAATCAAATGTTAGTAGCACTGAAACACTTGTTTATGTGATCGTATTTCCTTTAATTTCTATATATGCTAGCCATTTAATCTATTGACCATTAAAGTAGTATTATGGTATATTTTAAATAAGATTTTAAATAGTGCTTGGTGATTTGGATTTTTTTTTTTTTACAAATTTGATTTGAATTTTTGTTGGGATTTTCTTTGAAATGATTCACTCGATTGAATCGATATGATTCATATATTTTGAAAATTGTTTTATATAAGCTCATTTACATATTGTTTTTATGCTCCCTAGTCTTCACGGAGAATTTTCTCACAACCTAAATGAATCATTTAACGTTCGAACTAACTTTAAAATGTCAACCCCAACCGTGTAGTTTATTGGGTTTTCTTCTTTTTCTCCCCGTCTGAATGCTCTTGGAAACATGTGTATTTTGCTTGTATATAGCTCTTTATAGTTGTTTACGTTCTTGCACAGGCTTTTGTTTACATTGGATTTAAGGTTGCAAGTTACTTCCTCTTTAGAAGATATCGATGGAAGAAGTGTTGAAAGTCCAAGGAAATTAGACAGCACATGGGATGTTAAATGGGTGCTGCAAATGGTTTAAATTATGCAGTCATTTTAGTTGAAAATGTGCAAGGGTAAATTACTCAATTTACTCATTGAACTTTAGAGTATTTATAAGATTAGTTTTTAAGTTTAACTATAAATACTCTAATCCATTTAGTTTTAAAAGCATCTTCAAATCATTCTAGCTCTCTACCAAGTGTTCTTGTAAACACCTGTAAATTTTCTTCTTTTAGTAAAAGATCTATAGTTGTCCGGAGACTTAGACATAATTAACTGAATTTCGTTATTAATTTTGGGTATTATTTTTTCGCTTTTATTTCGCATACTAATCTGTCTATAGGGAAATTACTTGTTTATTTCTCAACAACTGGTATCATGAGTTTTTGGTAGTGAATTTTTTCGGTTTTCTTGTGATGTTAATAATCACGAGAATATTGAATTTTGTGAATAGTAAAGTTTGGTCGGTGATATGAATTTGTCGACGAAGGTGGTTCGCAAGATTGTCAGAAACGATTCAAAAAAATCAGATTCGAGTGGGACCGTTGGCTTTGAGAAACGAAGTGGATGAGTTCAAGAGAGAGCTAATCATATGCAAGGGAGAAATAAGTTGAATGGTGCGCTTAAGACTTTCTTGGAAAGATATAGACCAGAGGCGATGCTTGAGGGAGAGCAAAGTGATGCCCAGAGACTTTCGGAGGCCATAGTTGTAGCAGGAAAGTTGATTGAGCTTGCATGTGTCAAGCCAAGTAGCGATGCGTTGTTCAGGCCCATGTCTAGAGATAGTGGTAATAATGGGGGAGACCGAGGAAGGGTGCAGTAGAGAGATGGTAGAGGAAGCTCTTCGAATGGCCAATGTGAGCCATCGACTGTTCGTAGCTAAGGAAAGCCATCGGGAAATAATGGCAAGGTTAAGTCCGGTGTGAAGAAGAAGGAGAGCAAGAAAAAATTGAAGTGTTACTTATGTTATGGTCTTCATTTGATTAGAAGATGTCCCGAGAAGCGTCGCCTTACAACAATCATGAAGAGGATGAGAGAAGAAGTAGCAGGAATTGGCGCGGTTGCAAGTGTTAAAGCTGTCAAGCTAGGGAAAAGAATTGGTCCGATTGAGGGGATCAATGCGGCCAAGCAATGAATAAGACATGGTACGACTACAAGATCTCTAGTAAATCTAAGATCGAGACGTGGCGAGACTGCGGGTGTCAAAGCTGTCGAGCACAGGAAAGTACCCGGTGCGATAACAAGAGATAAAGTCGTCAAGCCAAGGGTGTAAAGTAAGCAAGTCCGCTCGTAGTATGTTAGGATGGAGGTGTGGTCCAAGTTAAGGCGTCTCAGACATAAAGAGACGCTTAAGGAGTATGTGAGTCGATTCAGAAGACTCATGCTCAGTCCCAAGTTTGACTGAAGAAGATGAGTTCTTCACCTTCATGTTCGGATTGAAGCCATGGGCGAAGAAAGTGTTGGAGCGAAAGAAAGCCAAAGAGTTGTTTAAAGCCTTAACAACCGTCGAGTCCATTAAAGAATTTAGAGTAAAGAAGGACAAGATTTCCAAAGCAAAGTCGAAAGCCGAGGGTAGCGACAAGAGATTTCGTAATGAAGGCAACTCATAGGATGAGGAATGTTGTTCCTCGAGTAGCAGAGAAAATCTACTCAATGATGAACTAGATGGTGGATCTAGAGAATGTGTGCAGTCTTGATACAAGTTCAAGTGTCAAAGATGTTAAGCTGAGGGTATGAGTCGAGCAAGCGAGGGGGCGTATACTTAAGATGCTAGAAGTGTTGATAAAATTACCTGAGGGGAGCCGAGTCATCCAAGGTGATGGATGAGCCTAGGATCGAGTTGTCCAGAGAAGAGGACAAACCCAGTATCGAAGAGGCATTGAGAGTTGGCTCAATAAGGTTCATTTTTGCCAAGGCGAGTAGAAGCCAAGTGTAGGAGGAGTTGTCCATGTCCAAGGAGTTTGCCGAACATGTTCGCGTAGAAAACATGGCTTCAGAGATCATCATAAGAGAAGGGTCGAAGCAAGGGTTTGCCGAGGATATTCAAGTGAGGAACAATCCTTCAAAGACTAGTAGACAAGAGTCGAATGAAGCCAAGACGTTGAGGGACAAGGCAACCACGGAAAATTGCCCATTTACAAGGTGGGAAGTGAGCTCCAACCTTCGTGTTAGAAGGGAGGAGGCAAGAAGAGGCATTGGACTTTGCCGTGAGAAAGTGTCGATGCATGGTGGCGCAAAGAACTCCAATTGATAACGGAGTTCAGTCAATTATTTTTATGTTTTTGAATTGTTGCAGATCTTTTACTAAAGGGAGAAAATTTACAAGTGTTTACAAAAACACTTTAGAGAGAGCTAGAATGATTTGGGGATGATTTTGAAGTTAAATGGTTTAGGATATTTATAATTGAAGCTTAAGGACTAATATTGTAAATTCTCTAAAGTTCAGGGAGTAAATTGGGTAATTTATCATTGCACATTTTCAACTAAAATGGCTGTCTAATTTAGACCATTTGCAGCAGCCCATGTGTTGCTTAATTTCTTTTGACTTTTAACAATCTCCCACTTGAAGACTGATTTTAATTTGTCTTTATACCTTGATCAATGCAGCAATATTTCTAGATATGCGCCAGCCCTTCTTTCTCCTTGAAGTTTGACACTCCTCGCATTGAACCCTTATCTTTGGTTTATGAATGTGAAATTTTGAGTATGTCATAGTTTGTACTAGACCAGATATTGCTCAAGCAGTGTGAGCTGTTAACAAAGACGGTGATTACGGATAAACTGAAGTTGTGTTCAGCTTCAGTTGATATACTAGACTAACAAGACAATAAATGTTGCTTCATTGATCAAGGTGTGAAGACAGATTAAAATCAGTTTTCAAGTGGGAGATTGTTAAAAGTCAAAAGAAATTAGGCAGCACATGGGCTACTAAATGGGCGGTTGCAAATGGTCCAAATTAGGCAGTCATTTTAGTTGATAATGTGTAAGGGTAAATTATTCAATTTATTCTCTGAACTTTAGGGTATTTATAATAATAGTACTTAAGCTTCAACTATAAATACCTTAACTCATTTAGCTTCAAAATCATCCCCAAATTATTCTAGCTCTCTCAAGTGTTTTTGTAAACACCTGTAAATTTTCTCCCTTGAGTAAAAGATCTGTAGCAGTTAAGAGACGTAGGCATAATTAGCTGAACTCTGTTATCAATTTCGGGTATTATTTTTTCGTTTTTTATTTCGTATTCTTACTAATTTGGTTATAGAAAAATTATTCGTTTATTTTTCAATAAGAAGATATCATAGCAGTGAGCATCTTGCGTTGGGAGGTATTTCTGGTTTAACCCTATTACATCATGTTACATGTCATCTTTTTTATAGAAACTGGAAGTAGTGGTTTGTGGAATGTGTTCGACTCATCTGTATGGCTTGGTCACGGCATAGAGCACAAGGATACTGGGGAGTATGTTTCTGTTTACACTATTCATTCTTCTTTTTTATGGTAACTGGTTATCAAGGTATCTGGTATCAAGTGTTTGTCTGTATAGCTTTGTCACAGCAATAAGCGTAGTGATGCTGGAGGTATTTCTGGATTTATACTGTTCTATCATGTTTGGTACGTTTTCTTTTTGCTAGAAACTGGAATTCAAGGTATGTTGGATAAAGTGTTCATTTAATAGTCCACGACAGCTAGTGTGACAATGTTTGGAGATATTTCTGGATTATCTCCTGTTATATTGTATCACCCTTTCTTTTTTATAGTAACTGGAAGTCAAGGTACATGGGACGAAGGGTTCTCGTCTGTAAAGCTTGTTCAAGGCAGGGAGTGTTGACATATTTGGAGGTATTTCTGGATTTACAGTAGTGCATCTTGTTTTGATATCTCCTCTTTTCAGTAACACTGTAAATCAAGGTATCTGTGGCAAGGTGTTTGTTCATAGCTTAGTCGACATTTAGGGTTTATATTGAAGTCGTTTGAAGCACCGATGAGACTTTTAATAGGGCTTTGGAGACATTCACAGTTTGATGCAGTAGCAGGTCAATTTTCTGAAGATATTTCATATAGATTCTGTTGTGGAAGCATTGAAGTCTTGTGTTCTGAATCCTTGAGATTAGTTTTGAAAAGCTTTTGTTGTGGAAGTTTGGTCAAATACCGTAAGACGCACGTGTACCTTGTAAATCAGTTCCTTTACATAGTGAAGGTTTTCCTGTGGACTACGGTCCCGTGGTTTCCCCCCTTAATTATAAGGGTTTTCACGTAAATTTATGTCTCTTTTTTCATTTATGGTGCTCGATTGTGTTGATTTTTTATTCAAACTGCGAACATTTTATAAATTAAAAACTAAAATTTTAATATTCGTTCACACGTTTTGCTAAAATGTGGTAAATTACGAGTAAAATATCTCTCTCAGCTCAAATGGTAGAGTGCTCAAATACCATTTAGTGGAGTTGGGAGTTTGGTGGTTAGAATCCATCCGGAACTATTATCTTAGGGATATCTCCCAGTGCTTTGCAATTTGTGTATTTGTTTTGACTTATTAAGTTGATTCAACGTGACTTCTTTTAATTCTTATTATTGTTAAACTAAATTTTATAAATAGTCGCTGATCTTTTAAAATTTTTAACTTTTATTCATTTTTATTTTATTATAATTACAGTTTCTTTTTTTTCTAAAAAAATAAAATTAAACTTATCAGTTTTCTTTATTAGTATCGTTATTATTCAACATTGTTTTAAGTCATCGTCATTACTAAATATAATGTTCATTATATTTAAGAATTTCATCCTATATATATATATATATATATATATGGCAATGATGAAAGAGAAGAAAATTTTAGGTTCTATTATCTTATTATATCTTTTATCTGTTCGGTTTTATTTCTTTTGATATGTGTATGTGATATTTAGGTCTAATTTTGAAATATTTATTAATGATGAAAGAGAAGAGAAAATTTTAGGTTCACATTTTTATATATTTTATCTGTTAGGTTATTTCTTTTGATTTATGTATGTGATATTTAATTTTAATTCGTTGAAATATTTTAGATATTTTCTCAAATTCATGATGGTTGTAAACTTGTAATGGATAAAGAAAATTATAAGGAAGCTATTGATGTCTTTTTTAAAGTGTTTATTTCTTAAGGAATCAATAAGTTCTTCCTAGCAGAGTGACAATTTTTTAGATAAATAAGATACTTTTGTAAACACGTGATTTTTATTTTAATGATAACAGAAATTTTATTTTGTTTTAAAAGATTCTCCAGCCTCTATAGCCTAAGGCCTTGAAATACATTTGATCAGACACATGTTTTCGTCCAGACTTAATTAGTTTTTATTTATGTATATTATATCATATATAATACATTTTATACTTTATATTTCGTATGTTATATTATGTGCATTATATAATAATATATTACATGTTATATATTGTTATTATTACATTAGGTATCTAACTATTATTTATTTATTTTTAGGGCCAATGTAATTAATCCAAGATCAAATCCAAAAGCAGCGCTACTAGGCCCGACAGTCTAAGTCCAGCATATGGGAAGCCCACGTTTCAAGACCCTATGGGAGCTAGAGCTTCATCTTTGTCCTTCAGCGCCTTACGATCCTAGCTGTTAGATCAGAGTGCAATCTGATAGTCCAAATTGAGAGCGTTTTTAGGGTTCATGGAGAGTCCTCATTCCAGTCGTCAATCAGCCAAAGATAGCTTCAACCATCCTAGAGTTTTCGTCGTATTTTGGAAGAGATTATCTCTTAGTGAGAAAGGGATTTTGGGAAAATCAAGAAAAATAGAAAATAATGTAGTGCTTTAGTCCATTGGAACTTTAAATAAAATGAGATCCCTAAGTCTATAAATCCCTGCAAAAAATTAAAGAAAGAAGGTTAGATTGTAAGCAAAAAATACTTGTAATCTTGGAAGAAAGATCAATAGAAGAGCTATTCTTTTACCAACTTTTTTGATTTTGTCTTGTGTGCTTGCATGTTCAATTGTTTGGCCTTTTTGTGGTTTTCTTTTGTTTCGAAAAACCACTACAGATTGAGGAAGCAGATGATCGGAAGAGGATGATTGCAAAAGATCTTTCTCAGATATTGCTCTCCTCGAGACTTTCCAATGAAAACAGTGGTGAGATTATAAAAGGAGGAAGGGCTTTCAAACGCTCTAAAAAAACGTTCGATTTTACCGTTGATGAACGGTGGTCGGAGATGATCTACGACGGCCGTCAAGGCGGAGCACAACCGAAATCTGAGTTTTCTACGAACCCCGGTTGAATGTTCTTCATATGTTTAAGAACATGAAAAACATGTTCTGAGAAAATAGAAAATGATTTTGATCCATTTGAGTAGGGTTGTGAAAAATAAACTTTATTTTTTAAGTTTGGCCCTTATACTAACTCGAGGACCCGTTTTGGGGCCCTTAAGATCAAGATCATCCTTTTTAATGGGTAGGGTCAAAATACTATCATAGTCCCTTAACTTTTCTAGAAAATTCATTTTAATCCTTTTTTTTGACTTAATTTCAATAATATTACTTTTTAAATTCTTCCTGCACTTTGTTTTATTTTTTACTTCATGTTTCATTTAATCATATTTAAAATGCTATTTCACTTTACGAGATTTTGGCCTACAATAATTGGCTTTCTGTAAAACTTTAGGATTAATTTATTTCTCCTATTTCCTTAATTTCATCATTTATTCAATGTTGACTTAATTTTCCTTGCCAAACTTTAATTCTTTCTTCTTGTTTTTTCTTCAGTAAATCATTTCTTTTTTATTTTACTATAATTCAATTACTTCTCTCATTGTCCTTTCCTTTCTTTACTAGGTTTAGTCTCTTGTAAATTTTTAATTAATTTAACTATTTAAACAAAATATTAAGATCTTTAGGTTTAATATTAGAGCCTTAATTTTAGGATCAGTCTTATTAGGTCCTTTAAAATCCATAATTTGATACTTTAGTTAGATGAAGCCTTAATTAACTCATTAGCAAAGTTAGGTTTTAAAAATTGTTTTTTTTTGCTTGCATAATTCATTTTCAAAAAATAAAAGGCAATGTTAATTTATTTGGGTTTTAGTAATGTATCTTTAGCTTGTGTTCGGGGGTGACAGTTATTATCTCCCGTAATAAATTGACATCATTTTCAAACTCTTTCATCATAGTTTTAAAATTAAGGCAATATTTATGTAATGGGGTTAATGGTAAACCTCCACTCATGCTTGGGGTAATTATTATTAATTTCTAATTACATAAATACCTTTTCCAAATCTGCATACATAATAAGAAAAAAAATAAATAAAATCTCGAACTCATAATATTCAATTTTAGAACCATGGGTAATCAACTAGGTATCAAATTTAGACGTTATGAGGGTGTTAATCATTCCCCACGCGTAATCGACTTTCGAACTCGTTTTCTGATTTCGCAGATCAAAACTTATAACACCCCTAACCCGTATTGGACCCAAATACGAGTACGATGTGTCACATTGACTTTTCAAATCATTTACTTTTATAAAATAGTGTGTAATTTAAAACTTTTATAACATATAACTTATTCAAAACGTTTACAAAACTATTCAAAATTTATACAATATATTCTTTTGAATACATGCCAACTAGAACTTTATATATTAAAATACCTCTTATTCACCTCTCTTCTGATATGACCTTCAGTAAGGAGAACTGGCATGTCTTGTTCCACATTGCTCTTTACTCTTCTTGAAACCTACGTGTAAATCACTTACACACTAAGTTTATGACTTAGTGAGGCAATAAACATATAATGTAAACTATAACTTGTAATCATGCATGAACAATTACTACTATCACATCATACCCAAACATATATCCATTCATATATCAAATCCACACATGCATATAATTATCTTTTTTCCTATCATTATCATATTATTACCATTCATATTTTTATTCTCTTGTTTATATGATCTATTATGTTCATATCATATATCTTATAACATATACAATAATCACTAACACACATATATCATATCATATAATTTATATCACAAAACACATATATATATCACATACATTGTATTCAATGTTATCTCTTATTAGCCCATGTACACCTGTGAGAATTGTAGATATGTGAGTCTATTGAGGTTGTGCACTATGCTGTCACCACAGCTCGTAAGGGGTCCCATTAGGGGCAATGAAATTTTATCCCGAAGGACCACTATGAAATATCCCGAAGGATCACTGTATGTCCCGAAGGACCGCGTAGACCCTCGACTCTTGGCATGCCTACTATACCTATAGCTCTCGTATAATATAACATGGGCATTTTCACTTATATCATTTCACATATACACTTTCATATCACATGTCATATAAGCTCATAGCTTTTTTCACATATACATGTAGTCACATAGCTTCTTTTCATATTCTCATAGGATCACATAGTTCATATCTTATACTTTGTTTTCTCATGTTCACATATATCATGTCATATGGCTCATATCTTTCTCATGCAGATACATAGTTCAGTTTCACTTATGTTCATATATATACATCACATAACACATACTTCTTATATCATTACATTCAAAAGCATGCTAACACATATAGGCATACATACAATTCATGTTATTCATATACGTATAATCATATATTCATGCATTCTAACATAGGAAATAGACTTGTCGCAAGTCTTGTTTCCATTTAGCACCATAAACTAACTAATATGCACTCACCTTGGCCTCACTAAGTTCCTATCTACTTTTATAATTTCCTTTCTTTTGATCGAATCTTAATTTGATGATCGTTCCGGAACTTGTTCGTGCTCGATATCTACATAAATATACATTTTAAGGTAATTATCAGATATCTACACCTTGTAATTTGATGCTAATAACTTGAACAAATTTAATAGACCAATATTCACTTTTTCCTTTAGGGGTGTACCGATGCACTATGGATGCATCGATACATAAATTAGGTTCGAAATACCCATGCATCGATGCACCCTTTAATGTATCGATGCACCTTCAAAATTGGGCTTAGTGCATCAGTGCATTTTCATAGTATACCGATGCACCTTCCCAGAATAGGCTATTTTCACCCGAAATTCCTCAATACTTACCCAAATTTTCATGTATAAACCCTTTATTATGCTATCAAACTCATTTATAACCATTATAACTAATTTCTAGTATTCCAACACCTTAAATCTCCCATATTTTATCCAAATTCTTAAAGCTAAGAACCATACCAAAATATCAACATGATCCAAATTCAATTATAATGCTTTAGACTTCTTAATTCTTCTTATGTCAAGTCAAAAATCTCATCAAAACCCTAAAAACCAAACCATATCAAAATTCATCTTTAAAACTCATTTTACAAATCCCATCATAATTCACTCATCTTATTGTTTTAAGTTTATATAAGCTTTCCTTAAGTTTATATAAGCTTTCCTTAAGCTTATATAACACCCAATTATTCCAACCCAACCTATAAATTCAAGGAATTAACAAGATGAATTCAACTTACCTTTACTTTGGCTCTCTCTTTCTCTCGTACATGGAGAAGAAGAAGATGAAATGGAGAAATATCTCCTCATCCTTATCCCCTTATACATATATATATATATATATATATATATATCATTTATTTATCATTTCAATAAAATGACCATTTTGCCCTTTCATTCTTTTAATAATTACTAATAACTTTAAGGAAATATCACCACATAAATCATTGAATTATTCTACTTTTATCCCCAAATTCTGAAATTTTACAATTTAGTCACTAACCCGGTATTGAGGATGTTACAAAACTGGTTATTTTTTTATGAAATAAATATTTTATTTAAAATTACCTTATTTTATATGACCCAATGACACTTTAAAAATGATTGGTGGTGACTCCTATTTTTACAATTTTTTTCAAAACCCATCATTGGCCCGTTAAAAGGTCGTCAAGAAATCACTTATAAAGCTTTTTTACTAGGGTTAGAGTCGATTTTAATCTAGTACATTATACTTACGTGAGAAAAGATATGAGGAATCTTGCTCTTTGTTTATAGTAATAATATTTTGAAAAGAACTTATTGATGTGAAACAAATTGAATGGGGAAAGTATTTTTGTACGATTTGGTAGACATTTTTTTAGTGAAGTTCTCTTTCTGTAATTACAATGCAATATACTTCACATTGGTCTAGTTTTTTTTTTAGATAATTCAAATTTTTTATTATCCAAAATAGCAAAGTTTTGCTACAATCCAATCAACCAATCAGAACAGAAAATAACAGTGCAAACCTAAACAAAACAATGATTGGTACAAAAACTATAAGCCCCAAGCATTACAGAAGGAAAGATTAGTGCTATCAATCCTATTGATGTTTTTTCCCCTAAGACTTAATTGGACAACCTCATAAATTTTAGTAAAAATTTGTTCTGTAGATTTAGACCAAGCTTGAAAAATTCTTTGGTTTCTTTCCTGCCATATATAATAGATGAATGCAGACCAAGCAATCTTCAAAATAGAGGTAATGAGAGACTTCCCTTTCCATGAAGTGATTGCTCTATAAACCATGTCGTCCCATGTCAAATGTGATGCATTCATTCCATTCACATTCAAAATAATATTCCATAAGCGATCTGCTAATGAACAGTCTGCGAAAAGATGGTTTCAAGTCTCAGGATAATTACTACAGTTAACACATAAAGCAACAGTGTTAATGCCCATATTTTGCAGACGGTCTCTTGTAGGCAATCTATCTTGAATGGCCATCCAGACGATTAAACAATGCTTCGGTATATGTAATGGAAACCAGAGGAGATTATGCCAAGGGACTTTTTGGCTTTTAGGTCGAATATCATCCCAAATATCCTTAATCGCATTAGAATCAGAACTGAATTGCAGAGCATCAGTCCTCTTTTTTTTATTTGGTATATCAGTTGAGAAAATCTAACAGTTGTGAGCAGTGGATAATTTACAGCAGATAATTATGGAAGCAAATAATCTCAGTTTCTTTGTGCTTACCCCCTCCTTCATTGGCGTTCTTCTTCTTTTGTTGTTTTTATGTTCATATAAACGGACAGAAACAAAAAAAAGATGTGTTCGGTCCATTTATGTTTACGAATAAGTTTATTTATTGATTCGTTTATCGATTTATTTATATGTTCATTTACTCGTTTCTCCTTTTCCTTTTATTTTTTACATATTAGATATTGATAAAATTAGAGATTAAATTTCACTATTTTTTGAACATTTAAAAGAACATGTTAAATAATGTTAAATGAACATATTAACAAACGCTAAATGAACATGTTAGTAAACGCTACGTGAATATATTGATGAACATTAAACGAACATATTGACGAATGCTAAACGGACTTGTTCATGAACAGTAAATGAATATATTTGTGAATGCTAAACGAACCAAACATGAATATCTTAAAAAGTAAACAAACAAACACGAATATAATCTTATTCGTTCAAGCTCAATTCATTTATATTCCTAACAAAAAGATAAAATAATGGATGGAATGATAATAATAAATGATCTAATGATTGTGAAAAGATGATGAATTTCTTGAATACGGTGGGTAATATGTTTAAAGATGACATCAATAGAAAAATATTGAACAGTGATGATGTAGATAAAATGAGATCGACAACTACTAATTAGTCTTAAAATCTTAGATTTTTTTATAAAAAATAGACTTTAATGTATCATTATAGTAAAAATAAATTAAAAGATCATTGATTATTGAAAGTCTTAACAGTTATGCTATTAAAATCTAAATATCATAAAAATTGAATGACTATTTATATAATTTACTCTTATTATTATATTGATGTACTAATTTAATCGGAGTGCCGCATTCTCAATTTAACCCCATCGGCTTAATTTTATTTGTACTAACCCATTGAGGACATTGTTGTATATTCATCAAATTCATAAATCAAAATACTATATACCTAGATTTGAACACATATAACAGATCCGGAAAACCGTTTGGTTAGAGTGAGAAAAGCGAGCGAAGATGATAAAAGCTGTGATGGTGATGAACACTCAAGGCAAGACTCGACTGGCAAAATTTTACGAATACCTGGTGAAGTTCTCTTTCTTTTTTCATTCCAAAATTGAAGTTCGCGATATTGTTATCTAATCCAAATTCCTTCGCAATAATCGACGTGGCTCCGAATTTCGTTCAAATCAGCCAGTGGAGAAGCAGCAGGAGCTTATACGCGGCGTTTTTGCAGGTTCCGATCTCTCGAATTGTTCTTGCTTTAGCTTGTGATTAGTTTGAATTGCTCCGTTTGGGTCTCTTGAACCTCGTTTTTCATTTTTTGTAATCTCGTTCGGTATTCCGCCTAATCAATTCTTTTTGAGCTCGTACTTGCAGTGCTTTTGTGCTTTCTTTATCTTTCCCTTTCAGTTTTGATTTCTATCTTTTAACAGTCTTGTGCAGTAGAGCTGAGAACGTAAGCAATTTCATAGACGCGGAATCAATTTTTGGTCCGGTAATTTTTTTATTGTCTAATTTTTCTCTTGTTCTTGTAAGACTTGACACCTATCGATTTCCATTTGCATTCCCCTCTTGAGTCTGTGTGAATCTTCTCAATAACTGCAATAGCTTTACTATGAGAACTCTGTTTAATTGTTTCATAATTCTCACTTTCAGGACAGTCGCCTTGTCTACAAGCATTTTGCCACTCTTTACTTTGTTTTTGTATTTGATAGTTCTGAAAATGAGCTAGCCGTGCTCGACTTGATACAAGGTATCCTGCGAAATTTTATTTTAGAATTTACCTATAATGGATTAATCAATCGATAAAATGTAGTTATTCTTATTTATACATCCATTGATCTGGTCTTTGTGATGATTTGAAGTTGAATTTGGTTTGTAAGCACCTTTTATGAAAAAGATTTTGTTATTCGAGCATTTAGTGAAAAATGAAATTTGATTTTCTTGTGTGCTGGAATCAGTGATAGCTGTTGTTTTGTCACCCGACTTAGTTGTATTTACCTCAGGTGTCCTTCAAGTGGAAAGGTTTGATTTCAAGCATTTTTATTTGGATAAGTAGTTTATGCTTATATTATCCAAGAGAGAGCAGCCAAGCTGCTACAACAGACCAACCACACCAGACAACATGTTCCCAACACCAACACAGTCTATCCAGACATACAACACCTAAGCCAAGCCAACACAGCCGGCCTCTACTAAAGCCCCTAGTTAGTACACAAAACCATATTGACTGACTATCACATCTATCAATAGAATACCTACTCAATTTAATACTAACAATCTCTTTTACACAATCCACAATAGAGTTTACCGATCGACTAACAGTTCTAAACAGACGATGATTACACTCATCCCAGATGCTATGTAAGAACCCTGTCCAAGCCAGCTTTAAGATACGATCATACGAACAAGCAGAGAACCACCCTTCAAATTATCCACTGCCCAAAAGAGATGATCATCCCAACACAAGGACCTGTAATGCAGTCCACAAACACGCAAGATTTTCCAAACTCTTCTGGAAAAGGAACACTCAGAAAACAGATGCCTTCTAGACTCAGCAACACCACAAAGACCACACAAACCATTTTTGAGAATCCCACACCGAGTTAATCTATCCTTTGTGGGTAGCCTGTCCAAAATGACCATCCAAGCAATGATGGAATGCTTCGGGACATGAGAGGGAACCAAAGAGCATTTTGTAGATACTTACCTCTTATAGCAATGTGGATTTCATGCATTTTGTAGATACTAACCTCGTTTAACCATCTTCTTCGTATGAACAATTTCAGAAATTATTGTTTTAAAACTGATTCAGTGGATTCTTGGCCCTAAAATTGCATTCTTTTTCTGATAGAACAATTTAGCAGGTTTGTGATGCATTTACTTGCAAACTAGAAAGCCATAAACAATATTTATTGATATTTATTTTAAATATTTGATCATTTTACTTACTTTAGATATGATGCCTTCAGTTTTTGTGGAAACGTTGGACAAATGCTTCCAGAATGTTTGCGAGCTTGACATTGTGTTCGGTTACAGCAAGGTTGTATCTCTCATCACTAATATCTGCATCTATTTAGTGCCGAACGTAAAGTTCATCTTTATTTATAGTTTGGCTCTTTGAAGTGCAAGAGGACGGCAAGCTAATTTTACCGGAAGGGATATTGTTGCAAAACCTTTATGGGGTATGTTTTGGGTTCCAAACTTTAGTTGATAATAAGGAAAGCCTTCTTGTGGTCTCAAAAGGTCAATTTCCATGGAGCTTGCGTAGAGTAACTTTGGGAGTTAGTTTTGCCCAAGTTCTGTAGCATTTTGATTCAGTCCCCATGTAGCTTGCCAAAAGTGACTTTTGAAGTTAGCCTCGCCTAAGTTCCTTAGTATTTTGACTTGATAGCACACATATATATAGTTTGTGTTGTAGTCAATCTAATGTTTCTAGGAAAGATGACCCGTTATTGCCTTTATGCTCTGCTAACCAAGGAACGGCTTTAGTATAAGCTCAATAGTAACTTCCTATGAGGCTATGACATCGTTTTAATTTCTTATCTGTGCACTCAAAAATAATCTAAAGTTCCCTAGAATGCCTTCTTATGATAAGATTCTGATCTACATTTAACTTGCTTCTGCTTAGTCATTTGTGTTCCTCGCTGACTCGGTCCTGGTTAATTATCTTCATTTTATTCAAATCTTTGATTACTCTTTGCAGGTACACACTATCCTGGATGAGATGATTTTTGGAGGTCAAGTGGTGGAAACAAGTTCATCGGAAATTATGAAGGCAATTGAAGAGATTTCAAAGTGCTTTCTCTATCCTTTCCTCCTCTGCTTGTCTAAAAATGCTTATACACAATGCCGGTTTTTCCACTTTTGCATTTCATTCTATTAACAAATGAAACATAACCATGATGTAGGTTAGAAGCTGCCTCAAATGCTATCACACTCATTCCAAAATCCGCTTCTGGTTGGCGAAGTAGGTAGTTTTAACATTCAGATGCTCTTAATATTGGTTATTGAATTATTTACTGTCATCGTGAGTTGGTAACTTGTGTTTGAAATTAACTCGGTGGTCAATGCTTGAGTGAGGAGTTTCATCTCATATTGGCCCACATAATAATCAGAAGTTTAGAGGTGTTCCATTTGAGCAGTTAGTTTTCTCCTGTTCTTCACAAGTAGGAAGTAAATAAATGTTACTAGGTGTTTTACTCGCACATGCTTTCAAGTTTACAGCTTTGAGTGTTTATCATGATATTCGCAATTTTTATATGCTTTTCTTAGATACATCAGGTTAATATTTTTTGACTTCTTAGGGCCATTTGGCGTGTGCTGTTATTTTCTCTTCATCTATCCATCCAATTAATTCTCCATATAAAAATATCACCAGTCAGCAGGTAATTAACTAAGAAAACCATGGCCTACGACAAGCCTCTGGTTTTTTAAAAGCTAATTTATCTTCTTCTTTCAATTGCTTTGATTTCATTTTTTGTGTTGGTTTTCGTTGGATTTTTACTACCGAAATCTTTTTTTTCCCTTAACAACAACCATAACCAAGTTTTCATCAAAACCCCTCCAAATCGGAACACCCACCAAGTTTCTGCGAAAAGTTCTAATATTATTGGAAAGGGAATGATTCCTGATATTTGTCTCAAATCTTCCACAAAATATGCATTGGAGATGGCTCCGACCGATACATTTTTCGAAAATATGAGTTAGCGATGGACTCATTTATACCAGTGAGGCAAAAAAACAAGGGGTTGAAATTTGGGTTTGTAAGAATGTCTTTATAGAGAGAGGAGCAGAATGCTATTAGCGGAATGAATGGGTAGTAATAGGGATGTAAAAATCTAAGTGGATCTGTAAAGCTGACTGAAACCGACTCGAGTCAAAATTGTTTGTGACCTGAGCGGTGGTCATTCGAAACTGACTCGAGTCCGAACTGGTGTTGACTTGAACCCGAGTTGGATCTGGAAATTGTGGATCTGAATTCGACTTGCACTCGATCTGAGAATGACCTAAACCTGAATTGAACCGATAATATGATAATTGAACCCAACTTGCATCCTACTGATATGAACCCGAACCCGAGATTAACCTGGTAAATAACTAGTATTACCTGACTTGTTATGAACTTAACCTGTAATTGACTCAACCTGTAAATAATCCGACTTATTATTGACTTAATCTAACATTTATTTGACTTGATATTTACTTGAATTATAAGTTACAATTAATGAAGTTGTGAGATTTTGGATTTATAATAAATTATGATAATTAATATGATTACTTTTTAAAAGTTAAAACAAATGGTTAGATATGATAATTAAATTAATAAATTTAATTTCTATATTAATTGTAATCCTTATATTATAAATCTTAATTATAATTATTAAATTAATTTCATTAAATAATTTATTTATTGAATACGATTTTATTATATTATATAAAATTAATTTAAATATTTATAAGTTTAATTTAGTTTTCATGTAATAATTAATTAATAGTTTAAATATAATTTAACATAAAATTTTAAAATATACATATAAGATAAATTTATTTGAGCTTGATATATATATAATTTTCTAAGAGAAAGATTGTTCTTTTTTTCGGAAAATTTGATTTTATTTGAGAATTTAGATGTAAATTGAAAAATTGGAAATTTAGAGGGAATGTCGAGGGAAATTGAGAATTTTTGGAAAAATTTGTTTTTATTTGGGAAGTTGGCGCCAAGTGAGATGTGGGATTGGTGCCAATAAATTTTTTGGGTTAATTATGTTTACGATCCTCAAATAATCATTGAGTTTTCACTTTGTAATTTGATTTTGATTTCTTTCATTTTAGTCATGGTTTAATTATAAATCTTCTTGAATTTTCAATTCGATGCAATTTAATCCTGTATAACATAAAATAAAATATGACATAAATATATACATGCATCATACATATATGTACATTTATGCATGCATCGTACATATATACATGCATTATATATATATATATATATGTATGTATAACATAAATTATACATACATATCTAAAGTATAACATATATAACATACATATCTAAGTGTAACATATATACATGCATCATATATATATATATATATATATATATATATACATCATATATATGTATACATGTGTGTGAGTCTTATAAGTATAATGGATGCATAAGTGTAATGAACATTATATATATATATGTAACATTCATCATACATATATTATATAATATGTATATTATATTTGTTTTAATTTGATCCTTATATGTCGTTTAATTTATTTAAATTATATTTTGTAATTATATTTTTAATTAATTTATTCCTTATACTATAATATCTAAACCTTATAAATTTTTGTTCACCAACTTTTTAAATGCATTCAAATTAGTCCATTTTATATTAATTTAAACTTAACATTTTATAATAATTTCGTTTTTATCCCTCATCCATGCGTGTTGTTTAATTTATTTAAATTTCAATTTGTAATTTAATGTTTGTTCATTTTAGTCCTTAAAATTATATTCTTATTAAAATTGACCCATAATTATTTATATATTTTTTGTAATTTACTCCAAATTAATTATTATATACAATTACAAATTATAATTCGTCGTTCATGAAAGACGAAAAATAATTAATCCAAAAATGACCCGACCTGAACTCAATCCGTGCCCGGTAAGATTTGATCTGAATTTTTTCTATCAATGATGTGACCTGATCTGAACGGGATTCGACTGAAGTCCATCCGAACTTGAATTAACCTGGAATTTAACTACTTCGGACCTGAACTAACATTGATCCGAACTGAAATAACCTGATCCGAACCCAAGCTGATTTCATCTGAACCCGATTTGGTCCGAGTCGAATCATCAAATTGACTTGACCAACTATTGACCTGACCTGACAAGATCTGACTAAAACCTAAACGATTACCTGATTTTACATCCCTATGTAATAATAGTATAGTGACGAAAATGAAGAGTTGCATGTTGCCTCGAATAAGAGAAATCCAATAAGAAATGACTTCATAAAGGTGATGATGGGCAAAACTATGGTGCTATCATGGAGATGGGGCACCGAACAATTTTAGGTGAATTTAGGTTTGCAATTAAGCACAAACTAATTTATCTCGGTGGTTAAAAGAATTGTTGTTATTTCTAGAGGTCATAAGTTCGAGCACCAACAACTGCAACAAGGCGACTGAGTGTTCATTTTCAAATAATTGAGAGTATTTAAAACATATACTACCTTTTAATCACCTTAGCTTACTAAAAAAAATTAGGTTTGCAATTAAAAAAATATATAGGTTATTTTTTGAACAATAAGTATGGAAGCAAAATTTTTTTGATTGGTGTGCTTTCATTTACATTGTTTGGGAGGAAATAAATAGGAGACTATTCCAAGGAAGGGCTCGAACGGTTGAAGATATGTTAAGCTTCATAAAGGAGATTGTTGGTACTCAACTTAGAAATAGAGATTTTAATAGACTTGATAATGTTAATATTTTTCTTTGTAACAATTGGGTATAAACTAACCATTTTTTGTTGTAAATAACTTATCTCTGATCCTTGATTGGGATGTTTTTGTACTGAACTCTTCTATTGGATAATAAAAATTGTACTTATTAAAAAAAATATGTTTGATTAAATTTTTTTAAGATAAATTTTTAAAGTAAGAATGAAAATGTATGAAAATTAAAATATAATAACAAGTTTTCAATGTTCAATAGAAGTATTTTATAAACTTGAAAGAAATTAAGACGAGACTTCCTTTATTTTAATGAATTAATCCAGATTTAAATCCATGAATGTAAATAATTTTTTTGAATTATATATATTAAATGTATGACTTCGGATTGAATATGTATAAATATAAGAATTTTTTAAACTTATTTATCATACTTTCATTATAACAATAGGCAATTAAATACATTTTTATATTTTTACTATTATAAATATTATTTTTATTTGCCAAACATATTTTCACTTTGTAGAAAAATGGAAATAAAAATAAACTTAGAAAAATTAAAAAAATGTTTTCAGAAGCTAAGTAAACTTTTAATGTTTTTTTTTTCATGTTAATAAAAGTTGAATATTGATTATAAGATTTAATCGAAAAATTAAGAAAATAGCAGTATCAGCAAAATGTTATGGGTAATGATTACGATACTGATAGAATTTTTTATGTAGCAGAATTTTACACGTTAAGTAATAAAATTAAAATTATAAAAAAAATGATTACGACACGCTTAAAAAAACAGAAATGATAAGATGAGCTGTTTTTTTTTTTGTGGATATACTGTCAATTTAGAAAGAGAAAATAACCTCAGTGATCAAAAATGCCTTATTATATACGATTTTAACCAACTTTTTTTGGATTTTCCAAAATGACCAACTAAATCGCAATGCGATCGATAATTCGCAACGCGATCTCCGGTATCGCAAATCAGTTTCCAGATTCGCAACGCGAACTTTGACTATTTTACTGTACAACAGTTTAATATTAAGAAAATATTCGATCTAAAATATTATAATGTATATTTTATCTTTTAAAACTTATATTTTAACAATAATCCCAAACAGTTAAATTTTAAATTGCACATTTGAAAAATACTTTTAAAAGTTCATTTCTACAACACTTTTAAAAATCATTTTTCAAAAGAAATGTCAAACTTACCCTTATTATTGAATGTCTTCGTTTCCCCGATAACTTTTAATAGAGTCATGTTAATTGTAACACCCTAAATCTGATTTGGCCTAAGGTGCCACAATAGGCTGCTAAGGCAACCCCTGATTTTCAAAATTTATTTGTTTTTATTTCAAAACATACTACATGGTATCAAAATAAATATACATGTTAGTTATAAAATATTTTTATAAATCGGAGCTCTGTGACACATCGTTTTAAAACAAAACAACACAAACTTAAAGTTTGCTTAACTAACTACATGAGTAAGGTTCTATGAATACATATGCCCACTAAAGTTATAGTACAATATTTTGAGGAAGATGTTGGAAGTCATGTTGCGATGGTGCTCCATGAACGACTTGAGCTAATAATCTATGAACGGAAAACATCTGAAAGTTGAGCTTACAAAGCACATCAGTATAATAACTAATTTAGAGCAACATTATGAGTCTCATAAACATAAGCATGCTAA